GGAAAAAAAAAAAAAAAAAAAAAATACCGATCGAATTGAGTAACCTCCTCCTTTTTCGAAGTCGGTTAAAAACACTGACCAATCAGAGCGCGAGAATAGTGTGCGCCCTGACGCGAGAGCGATAGCTTCGAGCCTGACGGCTGAACAAGTATGTTTTCACCGTGACCGGTCATAAGCTATTCTCGTGCTCTGATTGGTCGATATTTTTCGTTAATAATTCAAAAACTAAACTTCAGCCAACATTTTGGTAAAGGAAGAAGTTGTTCAGTATCACTCCAGCTACCGCCTCCTGAAATTATGCCCAGTAGTAGCCGAAAAGCCTGTGTATGTATAGCCAGGCCTGTTAGTCAGCACCAAGCAACGCGTATATTCAGGCGGGCATGTTGTTATATAAATGGTTCGGATGTACTGAATTCCTACTGCCAATAATATTTTGTTATAAAGTAATATTTCGACACAATTCCTTTTGCATGCTATTCTCAGAACTTTAGTCTAGGTGTTACGGAGCTTGATTTTGCAATTTTGTCCAAACAAATTTCATGAGCTGAAAATTAAAGTTTCTTATAAAAGAAGATTTTTCACATCCCATTTTTCCAAAATCGGGCTCCGTCCCGACCTAGATTAAAGTTCTGAGAATAGTATGCAAAAGAAATTATGGTGAAATATTATTTTTTAACAAAATGCCATTGGCAATAGAAATTCGTGTTTTCCACATTTCTGCAAAAACGTTCCTTGTCCTACGGTTTCTGTGGTCATATTCAGATTGGCTACTACGTGCACTGTCTTTCATCTGCGCTTGATCCCGATGCCAACAAAAAGGAAGCCAACAGCACGCGGAGTTCCCAAGCGGTCACCCATCCAAGTACTATCCGCGCCCAACTCAGCTTAACTTCGGTGATCGGACGAGAACCGGTGTATCCTGACTAGTATGGCCGTTGACTGTAACTTCCGCATTGTAGTGGATTGTCATATAGTGTTAGTGTTAAAACATCAAAGGGACAACTTTATGATATGGCCAAATATTCATAGAGTCATTTGTGAACTGTTAGTTTTTTCTTCTTTGTGAGTTCAGCGGGCCGGTCTGCAGCCCGTATGGGGCACATAAGTGTCATTTTAGAAATTTAGCTATTGTCCATTTTTTTTGCTTTAGCTCGGGTATCATAACGTCGTATTCCAGAGAGTTCCTTAAAATTTCAGAAATTAGTGTCCACAGGAATCTTGACCTGAAGGAATTTCCCCGATGTTGCCAAACAAGTGTTGATAGCGGCTAGGCCGTCACCCCCGCTCCAGGGATGTACTACGCTATGGGTGCACTGGAAGGGGATGACACGATATTGGTCAACATAATTTTAAGAACTGCGAAACTTAGCGTTAAGGACCACCCTGTTTTTACAAGAAGGAGAAGGGGTGCGAAGATGTGGTAACAACGAAGAGGAGGTTGTCGGAAGGGATTAGATTAGTAAAAGACTTGTATCAGCAACGTTTAAAACTAGCAAACTCCTTATACTAGAACAGTATTCTCAGACCATATTATATCAATCAGTCAAAGTAAGAACTTAGTTTTTTATTCCCAAATCATTTGGATGGTCCTTCGAACTTAGACGGCACGAAGTGCAATATCCTAACCTCGGATATTCAGAATCCAAGTTTAAGTATGTAGTATACGTCCGAACTCGAGGACTAGCAATTAAAATGACGATTGCCAGAATCTTGGTTCAGTCAAAGGAATAACTAAGATCGCGAGTATAAAGGTAGCTCTTGAAGGCGGAAGATTATTTTTTCTCCACTTCTACTTTTCTTGGAGAACAACCATTTTCGTTTTTGAAAGAACCATAGAACAGGGTTACCGCACGCGTTATTTTATCAGAAATCGTTATAATTTTCGACCCACTCAGCCTTTCGACCCATGGGGCCCTTTCTTATTAAAGCAAAATTGTTGATGCAGAAACGCTTGTCACTAAACCATAGATGCACTTAGTAATCCACAGAATTATTTTAGTAAACCGTGTCACCTAATCTATTGAAGAACATTTTAGTAACATGCAGAAAACTTTTCGTCAATCATAGTTAAATATAGAATATTCAACCAGTACATATCCTTGAATTCCTTTCGAGTATTCGGGTGGTCCTTCAATACGGTTTGTTGCTTTTTGTTCGTATACACAAGCAAAACGCCTACAAAGCTCGAAAACCTCTCGAGGTAAGGAAAGTTAATAAAGGTGTACGACTTTCTAGAGAACCTCACCAAGATTTATGTAAATTTAAAGTTACAAAAATTTCATTTGCTCGACTTCTGTTAATTACACATAATTAATTCTATTCCTTACTCATGACAAGCGAATAAGTAAACATTATTTTCAATTGTTCTGTTCATTATTTCACTGAGATTTGATGCAGACTTCTCATTACACGTTTAGACTGTTCCAAGATAAAGACGCTTGATTGCGTTCGTGATCCGTCGCTAGATTCGAAGCTGTCACTCCCACTTCTGGGCGCGCGTAACCTTCACGCTCTGATTGGTCAGTATTTTTCCTTAACACTTTATTGACCGGTCGTTTTTGAGGCTGCCAGTCACTAAGTACCGGCTGAGTCGCGCGCGCACTTACTCCCAGTACCGGATAAATTTTCGCTATTCATTGTGTTGTGCTTATTCCTTTTGTTTCAAAGGAATGTAATTTTATTAATATTTATACTTTATTTTGCATTTATTTTATATAATAAAGAAAAAAAAACGTAATATTTATGGGTGTTTTGTCAAACCTAAGAGCGCTTCACTCTTGCAATTTCAAATGGATCTCTAAGACCACATGGACGTCTCCACAGCTTGACGTTCTTAACAATTAACAATAGCTTTCTAACAAGTCAGAAAAGCACATCTTTCTAAATGCCAATATACCTTTTCTTAAGGAAGTTTATTTCCATGGTCCTAAACTGTGCACCCCACTAAAGTGGGCCTACGCGCTTGAACTCCGATGATAAACACATGGTGCCCATTTATTACTTCCTTTGAAGGACCCAAATCACT